CTGTATCTGGATAGTAAAAGTGAGAAATTACGCAATTTACGCACGTATTTGAAACTGGTAGTGGGTACAGTGTTCCATCTTAATATTCCGTATTCCTTTTTATAAGGCAGTCGAGGCTGATTCTAAAACGTATTTATTCCATTTAACTGATGTCATTAAAGGTAGAGTGAAAATTAGTAAAAATCATAAAACCATATGTTCTTATCTATTCTTTATCAGTTCGTGCTCTTTCGTCGCATATGCAATTTCTGAGTGGAAATGTTTTTTTGCTGAAGGCATCTCCAGTAGGGGGCAGTAATTTATCTCAAAGGCTGGCATTGACTGAACATTGCTTAAGTAAAAGAAGGAGAAAAACGTGAGAGGTAGTGAGTGGTGGGTGTATTATTATGTACAGTGAGCCAGTAACAAAAGCTAAATTTGTCTAAATCTTTTAATGGTGAAATGTAAATTAAGTTAAAGGACTAGTTGTACATAAAAACTGTGTTTATAGCACCATCTGGTGGTGAGAAAATGTTAGTTATTTTGTTTTTGACACTAACACATAATCCATCTAACCTTAACAATTTTTATCTACTATCTAAGTTTAAATGCAAAGTATGAAGTTTTATTTTTTCAGTGGGTGAAAGTGTGTGAGAGTGTGTGGGCCTGCTCTAGTTTGGTGTATGGTTTCACATGCACAAGATCACACACTAACACATACACACATTTGTGTGTGTGTGTGTCTCTACAGCTGAACTGTAAGTGGGTGATTGATAAAATGATGTGACTCATTTGGACTCCAGGGATCTCAGTGGGAACATTCACACAGAAGATTTCTCTTCCTCTCGCACACACACGCATCCACCGACCATATACGGACTGAAGCCCATCGAGGAAAATGAGTCTCATTTTATTGCTTTTACTATCTCCGCACCTCCTCCCTCTTTCTGCTTTTTTGTTTTTTTTACCCTTTTCACCCTTTTTATTTTAAAGGTGTTATTTACTCTACTTCCTATAAATTTAACACACTCTGCCCAGTACATTTTTGTACATAATTTTATTGCTGCAGTTTCCATCTTGTTTCCTTTGCTCTTGAGCGTTCTTTTCCTTGTCAGCATGCATGTCATCACAATTGACTTCTTATAGAGTAGTGGAAATATCTAGCAGCCTCAAGGCTCTTTTTCATGACTTGCCAGTGTTATATAACGCAGCACGTCGTTTCAGGCACATTGATTTTTTTAAAGCTAAACAATGGTGATAACACCAGAGCAGATTAGTTCAATATCAGTTCACGCTGCAGGCTAATTTCATGGTGTGGAATGGTTGTTACTGTTGAGGGAAAAGCAACAGATAAACAGGCAGGCAGTGGAAGACAAAGTAAAAGGTTTATTTATTTAAAGAAAAAAAAGAATGATTATGATTTATGCTCCAAAAGCCGTCATATTATTTTCTCCGGTTTTGTAATCACAGAGAGAAATGCTACGGTGGTCTAGACATCGACCGTCAATCATTGTTTACAGATTTTTATTACAATATCTTACTAATGCAGCAGTCATATTTTTTCTTAGTTCATCAGCTGAAGTGTTTGAGTCTGTTGTCATAGGCAGACGGAGAGTGTGTTATAATCACAGTGTAATGCAGAGCTGCCTCTCTGTTAGTTTACCTCCTCCATAAAGGAGCAACATCAGACACCTGTCACAGAGATGGATGTGCTGTGTCATCACTTCTGCTGCTCAATGATTTCTTGTCTCTCATCTCCTCTCCTCTTCTCCCTCCCTTTCCTGTTGCCCCTTCCTTCCCATCTATTCTGCACTTAACTCCTGCACCCCACATCGTCCACGCCTTTATTCCACACGTGCACTCTTCGTTGCTGGAATCTCATCACTTCTCTCTGCCTTTCGTCAGTTGTAGGCAGAAGTAAAATGCGACACAGTTGATTAGAGCTTTCTACTCCTTTACTGTGAAAAGGATGTACTGTTACATAATGTGCAGTAGTTTATATTCCACGGTAAGAACAGGGTTAACCTTGACTGACACGGTTTGAAACAGTCTGCAGAGAAAGATCTAGGCCTAGAAATGTGGAGAAAAACTGAAAGAATCACAGTTGGGGAATAATCCAACATTTCTACAGCAGAACAGACTACGAATGCAACACAACATAGAAACTTAGCAACATGCGACCTACCATGCATCACTAGAGTGCATGCAGCACACCATATAGCAATACCACCTGTAATAATTTATTTACCCTGTATGGATAGTAAAATACTTTTGGTGATGTGTTGAACTATGGTTCCTTTTGTGTTCCCTGTTGTCTTCAGATGATGCTTTATAATCTTCAAATATTCTAACTTAAATGAAATTATGACAAGAAAATTGCAGAGCAGTGAACTAACAAAGTAGGAAGTGTGACATTTATTGAGATAGCAGCAGCAGAGTAGGAGCAGGAGTTTTTTTTTTATACATTAAGGCTATGTTTGAGCTTGTGCTTAACACTAAATTGTAGTGACAAGAATGTGACCAGTAAATCTCGTGCTGACCTTTGAAATATGGTGTTTCTTTCACGTGAACGACTCTGTGTCAACATCTATTAGGTTTCACCTTCGTGTGCACACTTGTCTCGCTCTCATGTAACCAAAGTGAAAGTATTCTGCCACTTAGCATAAAAACACAACAAAGATAGCTGCTAAACGCTGCCTCCTTCTGCCCTAATTTGCCTCTAAAAACCCGACCAGGGTACTGTCTGCCTTATCCTCTAAATTTGTTTGGGTTTTAAGAGATTAAAGACTCGGTGAGGTGGAAAGAATGGGTGGAGTACAAGCCGGGGTTTCATTTTCTTACTACTTCTCATTTTACCCTTGGCTGATTCTATATTTTGTGGAGAGAGAGACAAAAAAAGTGAGCTATAGATATAGTATACGGCTTTAAACAACCTTCTTATGTTTTAAGAAAAGATAGAATTTTGCTTTGCTTTCCTTGTAGTTATTGCACAACCGTCCTTAGATGCTTATCCATCCACCAAAAGCCGAGGCCTAATTAATAAAGCTCTACTCAGGGAATATGTGTGTTCTTTTACACCTTTGTGAAGTGCCTCAGTAGGTGGTTTATGGTTTTCTCCTCTCTCCTTTTTTCCCACTCTTCTGGGAGATGGAGGAAGAGAGGATTGAGAGAAAAGTAATGGTGTGGTCAGACAGCCAGAGATTTGCTCTAATTAGGTTCATGGTTGCAGCCTCAGATGGAGAGGGAGTTTGCACAGTTCATGTGAATGTAGTGCACTGGCTTGAAGGTGATGTTGGAGTTTCTATAGATTTCCTCTGCTTGCACTCTTCCCCTCGCTCCTCCTCCTCCTCCTCCTCCTCTGCTGCCTGCTGACTGTAAAGGTGTGTACAGTAACCTGTGTCAGGCAGAGACTGATAAACCAGCCAAGGTCTTTTCATTTGGACTGGGGTCATAAAACAGTCCCCGTCTTTTTCTGACTCTACCTTCCTGCACCGTTCTCATGTATTTGAGCTGTGTAAACATTCAGTGCCAGAGGACATAACTGATTCTTAATCATTTTGTATTATACTCAGATTTCCTGTGTGTGTGTGTGGCTGTTGGTTCATAAGGAGGAACAAAAGGAGAAGACAGGTTGCCAGAATGAGGGGGACGGAGGAGGGGGACAATATCCTGCCATGCACCAGGTGACTGTGTGTGTGTGTTTGTGGCCCAGGTACATGTCAGGAACAAAAAACAACAGATGGAGTGAAAAGGCTGCATCACCTGATAAAGAAGTGTGAGAAGGTGATGCAAATAGTGAATTTGCCTGGAAGAGAAACACATTCCTTTACCATGGTTCTTCAAACTATTGATAAAAGGAACTGCAGTTATAAAGTAAAAGAATCTGTTATGGTTCCTCTGGTATTTAGCTACATATTTTACATATTCTTCCGCAGCTTTTCACTTTATTCTGGGTTCCTTTTTTACAAGGTCTGTGTTCAGGAAATGGACAGAGATCTCCACTGCAGGCTGTGGTTGAGTGATTTTGGGAGCAACTTGGTCTATGAAAGATAAGGATAAATAACAGTACAACATCAGTAGATATGTTAGTCAGGTTCTACAACCTCAGTTGATAGCTTTTGGGTTCCAATTTTGCAAGAACAGGGTTTTGTCCTGTGAAGGATCAGGTTCA